TATTTGTGTTCTATAAAAGATTTCTCATTAAGAATAAATTGGGAAGTTTATAGTTAGATGATTCCAAATATATAAATATGTCATTCCTTTGGAATGGACTAATAAGGAAATAGTGTCACATAAACTGAAACACAGGAAATATTAAGTTGTATGTCGAAATCCATCTTTTTCTTAATCTTTTTGGGTGGTTGGTGGTTGGAAAGGATAAGAGAATGTAAACTGATTTAGATGCTAAATCCTACTCCCTACATTTCAATTTGTGTGAACATATTTGACTTGACACAAAATTTAAGAAAGAAAGGAAAACTTTTGAAATTTGTGGTCTTAAACCTGCCATAAAATTTGTGGGGCTATCTAAGCTTTGTCATTAAGGGTAAATCGGGAAGTTAAAGTTGAACTATTTTCAAATTCAGAAAAGGGCCATCTTTTTTTTTTTTTTTGGAATAGACTAGTAAGGAAATAGTTCCATCCATTTTGGAACTGAGGGAGTACTAGATTATAATACCTGCTCTGGGTAGTGTTCAAAATGTCATGTACTTAAACCTGAAATATTTTTTATTGTAGAACTCTAATTATGTAGCTATTGAGTTTTGTAGAGCCGGAGGATGGTTGCAGTAAGTTGACGGCTAATCTAAAAATAGTTAAATTATGATGAGTCTTCATAGGTGGAATGGATATAGAGGACTCTTATAGTCGACCCCAACTACTTCGGGATCGAGGAGGAGTTGTAGTAGTAGTTTGTTTTTTGTTTTAAGCAAAGGGGTTATTTCGTGACAGGAAAATTCTGCAATCCGTGAGGATTCAAGTGATGGAAAAATGTGGCAAAATTGAAACTTCGAGAAGGGAGAACCTTTTACTAGCTTGTTTCTGTTCATTTTAGCATGAAAGAATGCTGAATAGAAATTTCTTTAGATGTGCCAATACCCCTTCTCTGCTGGAACTACCTACTAGAAGAAATTGTTTTGACAGTGATAGATGTAGCTTTGGGAATTACAGTTCATTACGGTTTGACCAATGGTGCAGGAATTCAAAAGGCTATGACCTGGCAACGAAGTTCAGTTCTAAAATTACACATCTGTCACCTGTTTGGTATGAACTGAAGGAGTAAGTGAACTCATGATTAGCTTAACTGTCGAATAGTGAAAGTACCTTGGGGATACATTGAAGCATAATGCAGTTATCGTAAACTATGTGTTTTCATGCTATTCAATTGGCTCTGTGACGTTGTCCATGAGATGATTAATTTTAAAGCCTGATCCTTATCTTGAGAACAACGACTAAGCTGTTAGATATAGTTTTATTTTGTTGTTTTCTCTATAACCACCAGGTCCTTGCTACTATCAAATAAATGAAAGTAATGAATCAAAATTTAATCAAGTATAGGAATGGGTACCGATTTAGAGGGGCTGCAATATCAGAAATACTCTTCAATATTTTATGATTATAAGAGAACTGCTTGTAGTATAAGCCTTTCCACTGTTTAATATCATCACCTCTTGTACTTTATGATGCCAGTGAAGGAAGTAAATTAGTTCTGAATGGAAGACATAATGCTGATAGAGGATGGATATCAGACATTCGAATGAAAGGCAATTCTCTGGTATGGTAGCCAACCATATTGAAATGTATATTATTGCAGATATATTATGTCAGGAGAATTAGTAATGTGTCAGGAGAAATTAGTACAAGAAGCCGTGGATACACTTCTTGATAATGGAATCCGGGGACAACCAATGAGGGGCGGTCATAATAAAGTTTACAAGTCATTTTCTGATGTAATTGAAGGCAAAGAGGGAAAATTTTGTGAGACTCTGCTTGGAAAACGAGTCGATTATTCAGGACGTTTCCCCTTTGAACAATGCCGTTCTAATCAGTCCTTGAAACGATCATTCATCGAGGAGGTCCGAATTGGCATTATCTGAGCCCACCTTACTTTTGGTGTATAATGAGTCTTGTAAACAATTAATGGTCTCCTAACTTTATATGTCATAAAATTTCTACTTTTATTATCAATAGCTTTTTATCTTCTCTGGCTGTCAATTATACAATAGTCAGCTTCACCCAAAAATAAAAAATAAAAACTATACAATAAGTCAATTGTAGTCATTTATCCATTTTATTTTGACTAATTGGCTTGTGAGAATGTGGTGAATTCTTCTGGAAGAACATTTAAGTTCTCTATGTAAAGAAATAATAAAAATGATGAAAAATATTTAAGTGTAAAGCCCCGGTAGCTGTTTCTGTTTGGTGACTGTGCCTAAGATGTAGGTGGGGATGTTTGGCTACATGAACTGCGACGGTAAGATTGGATGTGAAACACAGCTACAATGAAGTTAAGGTTCTAAAGGCACAAATTATTTTCCTCACTGAAACAAGAGTGTAAGTTGTTGTTTCCTTTGTTCTTATAAGTCACTTTACAGAATGGACACAGAGAAGTATGTTAAAAGATTTTAGAGGATCAGGGGAGTTTGACATTTAAATCTATATTTTTGACCTTTTGGTAAGATGATTTGAACCTTCTTAGTTTATATTTACTTTTTTTTTTAAACTTAAGGAACTCTGCATGGGTGAGTGAAATTTGGCTATATGGAGAAGTAGTTTACAAGATATTTAGAGAAAGGAGTTTACAAGATTGCTGATGGTCTTTTTTAACTTCTTTGATGGTTTGCAAGTGTAGGCATTACAATTTATAAAGCAACTTGGAGAAGCTATGCATTCTGTGCTCTTAGAAAGGAATGGCAAAACAAATCTACAGTCAGTGTATGTGATAGGTCCACCACGTACAGATAAGCTGCAGGAGCATGATTTTGAACCAGTAGATTTACAAGCCCCGAGTGATGCTGTAGATGGTTTCTCTCTTATGACGTATGACTATTCAAGTCCTTACAATCCAGGTCCCAATGCACCTCTGAAGTGGATACGCTCGACCTTGCATCTTCTTGCCGCTGCTGGCTGCAAAGGTAGGAGATTGGCTGAAAAGATCTTTGTCGGGCTCAACTTCTATGGCAATGATTTTGTCCTGTCAAAAGGTATGTATATATTTATCTTGCTGTGCTATATGTAGTAACAATACCCCTTCCCCCCTGAGGAAAAAGAAGAAATAGAACCTCTAATGATATCTAGGATTGCCTTATAGAAAATGCTAAAAGTGCAAGGTTTACTGAAACTTACCAACAAATAGCTAAATGGAATTCTAACTTTCCCTAATCTGTAAAGTTTTGACGAAGAAATAGGAACGTTCTGAAATTATAGATGTAGAGACCAAGTTAATATTCATGTCATGTAAAGGACTGCTAAATTTTATTTTAAATGATTCCAGTTGATCACTCATCTCCGTTGAAATCTTGAGATATATAGTTTGCTGGATGGAAATGCAACTAAAATATTCAGTTGGCTAAGGGTGAATGCAACAATGTAATTTCAAGTTATCTTGGCCTATGAGAGTAACATCAGCAGAATATTTAAGGATAAATTTTAATGATTCAAGTGCAATGAAACAACCTTTAAAGTCGATTCAAGTATTAGTGATTAAACGTCTCTAACCAGACTATTGGGTGATTATTTCATCCTATGTTGGTTTCCATGAAGTGGCACTAATAATAATTTTTAAAGAGCATAATGATTCTTTAGTTGTTTGTATCTGTTCATCATTTGCGAAGGATCATTACTTGCACAGATTTAGGTGGGGGGACTATCATAGCACACTAGTATCTCTCTTTGTTGGAGCAACACCAGCTTGTAATTCAGTGGGAGGCGGACAGTGCTGAGCATTTCTTCTTGTATTCTGACAATCAGCAAGTCCATCATGCTGTATTCTACCCGTCGCTCATGTCACTTGCAGTGCGGCTTGAGGAAGCTCTTTCATGGGGAGCAGGCATTTCAATTTGGGAAATTGGTCAAGGTCTGGAATACAAAAACAACGACCCAGTAAAATCCCACAAGTGGGGTCTGGGGAGGTTAGTGTGTACGCAGACCTTACCTCTACCCCGAGGAGTAGAGAGGATGTTTCCGATAGACCCTCGGCTCAAGATGGTCAAGGTCTGGAATACTTTTTTGATATTTTGTGGTATTTTTATCTTCACTTCGCGTTGTTGGCTTGTTGCATAGTCTTACATTTCCAGTTGTTTGATTAAAATAGTAGAAAGAGATTATGCTGCTACATTTGTCATAGATTAGTTTTTGAATCTAGAATAGTAACATCAGTAACGTCTGTATATTTCCCCTTTTTACTTGCACTTTCTTCTTGCATATGATCTGTACAATTGTTTTTCTATTTTTTATTTGGGGGGTTTTGGACGGCGGGTTGAGTGTTGAGTTGGGGGGTTTAAAATTGTTTTCTCCTGTCAATAGTAAGGAGTGATTGAATTTCTGGTGAACTACTTAGCCAGATTGGATATAATCTACAGACCCACATATTAACAAATATTAATATAGGTAAGAAGATATATTTGAACTTCTCTTTTAAGTTTCAAACTGTTACTCTCCGTAAAATTTGTCCTTAAATTTTAATTTGATCATATGTTCCACGTTGCCCAAATCATTTGTCTTATATGATTGGAAGAGACAAATGTTTGGTTTGATACTCGAAAAAAGAAAAAAAAATGCTTGGTTTGATGCGTTGTAAAGTTAAAGTATGTATTTGAGAAGGTTTGGATTGAAATGGAAGTGTTCAAAGTTAAATAGAAAACTTAGGAACAAGAAGAATGAAAAGCTAGAGATTCTAAAAGGTGAAACAAGGTTTAACTTCAGAAAGATATAACACTCAATGTAGGAAGAATTTGGCTATAATTCTGAAACGGAAAATTGTAGTCCATGAAATCTAATTTCCAATTGTTCAAACGGTTTGTCATTTGGATACTCCTACACAGTTATGGTCATAGACTCATAGGTACTTAACCACTATTATGTTTTTACAAGTTCATGTATATTTTGCTCTGTTCAAGTTTTTTAACACTAACCATCAGCAAATGCAGTTCAAACATGAGGTTTACAAAATCTCAAGCCCTATAAACATAAAATGATGTATTTGATATCAAAAACTAGCATTACATTAGTGACATGTATGATACTGTACTGCTACTAATTGCTGATGTTTCAAATGCTTGAACTATTACTCCCACTATTTTTCATTTTATATGACAACTCTTTTCTTTTCTTTTCTATCTTTTAAAAAAAGAATGATACTTTTCTTATAATATGCTCATACTCTTACAGTATCCTTTATTCACATAGTAAATTCATCAATAATTATCAATATATTGATAGAATAAAGCCCTGCAACTCCAAATCCAAGAGAGGCAAAAAATACTAGGTGATCTCTTCTCATCTGTCCAAGTCTTGGTGGATAAAGTTACTCGATACCTGTGCTGATGAGAGGTAGCAGGTTCTTTGTGGAATTGGTCGAAGTGCAAGCAAGATGGCTCGGATACCACCGTCATTAAAAAAGAGCCCTGCAAGTCCTCCTAAAAGAAGCTTTTATCTAGATAGTTACTTTGACTATCAATCTCATTTCAAGGAAGAAAAAAATGTAGTCCAAAGATCCTCAGCTGAGGAATTTCCCTCTGCATGTGCTGAAGTTGGTGTTGTCATGAAATCAGAATTGGTCATGTTGAGGATTGAATTGGAGTTTACTATCCCTGTTGAGGAATTATTGAATGAAGTATTTGGGGTTGAAACCATCTCAGGGAAGAAGGATTCAGATATTTCCCCTCTTCTTCCAACTTCATCACATTGTGTTTCTTTTGTTAGCGCAGCAACTAATTCTCCATTTTGCTGCAGTTTGCTTTCTTGACCACAACTGTGACTTCCTCCATAGATAACTTCAAAAACTGATGCCTCTGTCTCACTTCTCTGGACCATCTTAGTAGCAGTACAACTAGATAAACGACGACGAGCACATCGATAATATTCTCTGCAGTACCATAAGTAATTGTCGTGGGAACTTGTATTTCTAGGTAAAACATTGAATATAGTGTAGTATTATCCACCTTTGAGCAACTTTGTTCTCCGTTAAACTTTGATCTAAGCTTACCCCGTAATTAGGAAAAAAGGTTTCGTTTTTCTCCTTGACCCCTAACAGAGCTCCAAAAGTTGAAGGGTAAATCTGGACAGGTGGAGTCCACCCATTTACCTGGAGCTCTGTTAATGACAAGGACAATACGAGACGATTTTCTAATGCAAAGGGGTATGAATGGACCAAAAGTCTAAGGGAGGACACAATTAGCAATTTCGGATAATATAAGAGCCGAATTTGGGCATTTTTCCCTTCACAAAGCGAAGGGAACTTCGTACATACAAGAAATAGAACATCCAGATTTTGGTTGCTGCTGGACAAGAAACATACAGAACCAGATTCTCACCTGGGATGTTTTGCCCCTAAAATATATTTGTGTCCATATTTCCTCCAACTGTATCCATCCTCAGGTGGAACCTCTTCTCCAGATCGAGCATGTACGTATTCTGTCCTTCGCGACACCATCTTCCTACAATGATTAATTGTGTGTAACAAGTTAAAAGTTCCTAACAAGGACCTCCACCAAATGTAAGAATGCATCAGTTTCACTTTCTAAAACTGGTCTGTCGTCTCATCTGAGTAAATTACAGTAATAGTCTATGTGAAATTATCAGCGATCATAGACATATCGTTTGTTAGTTTTGCCTTTCGGGATACAACAACAATAACAACAATAACAAACCCCCACACAGTGAGGTCTGGGAAGGGTAATGTGTACGCAGACTTTACCCCTACCTTACGAAGGAAGAGATGATGTTTCCGATAGACCCTCGGCTCAAGAACAGTGAAAAAAAAAATACAATAAACATACAGTAATAATGGCAAGGAAATAAGATAACATAAACAAATAGCATAGCCTGTAATAGCAAGGGAACTAGGAATACGAAACTACAAGAGAAGTGTGACAACTACCGGAAATAATGTCACATCGTCTAACAACAAGGAACTCGGAATAAGAGGGAATAAGAGAATATAAGACTAGTACTACTACTACTAGTACGACTAGAAAAGACCCTCGACTACCTATCAACTCAAAACCCTAATCCCCGACCTCCACATCTCATGTCTTCGGGATACATATATAAATATATTAGCTATCGTGTAGCATTGACATGTTCTTATATACTTAGAAATGCCATGACATGTTTAAGCCCATTATGTAGCATAAGTCTTTGTCTCTATCTTGAACTCCGTCCCAGTCAAATACTGCCACATAACTGAAACTAGAATACCTATTCTTACCCGGTCAAATACTGACACATAAATTGAAATGAGAGTACCTCTTCCTGGAGTTGCAGGGACGGTCAGAACTCTTTGCGCTAGCATCAGCCAAAAGATGCAGAGATTCCAGCTTGCCAGTTGATGAAGATGGTGCTGGATTACTAATCTGTTTACCTTTGTTCATCCCTGATAAAGCTGTGCCATTTAAGAGCGACAGAGCTTTATCATAGGAAGAAAGTATTTCCACAGATAAATACTGGCATACATCCTTTTTCATGGGATCAAAGTGCTTTTGCAGCTGACACATCAATTCCCTCCCCTTGGTTAGCTCAGTTATCACTACCTCTCTCTCCCAACAATTCTCCTCTCCCATTTTTGCAAAACTAGCTAACAAGGTCAAATGTAGCCAAAAAAGAGAGATTCAAGTCAAAGGAGATGGATCACTATCACTTTAGATATAAGCTTTCCCTGGACTGGTGTGCAGGGATGAGATTCGTCAAGCTGGGGCGAAGTCCTCTACTCATTAGTAGTAAGAACAAGATGTAACTGATTTATCCGTGCCAAC